GCAACTGTGGCGTTGCTTGTCATAGTGTTCGTGCGACGCCAAAAGGACACGCGTGTCACAGCTGCTATCTGCACTGGAGGTCAGTGAGTGCAAGTTAAATAAAATTTAAATAATTAAAAAAATTATTTAGAAAGTAGAATGTTCATGCACATATATATTATAGATAAAAAGTACATACGATTAATTTTAAATATTTCATGAGTACAATAATATATCAAGTTTTATTATTAACATATAAAAATTTTAATAAGAATGCATGAGCATTCTTATCTATACAATAATTAATGTTTTTAAAGAAATTGCAAAATCATAATTGTAGATCAGTTATATAATTAGATATATGTATATATTCATAAATTAGAAGTTATATTATAAATTTATTTAAATAATTTAGGCGAACTGGTGTAGCAAGACCATTAAGTTCCATGCCAGGTCGAACAAACAAAAGAAAACCACCTCGCGGTCTCGTTGTTAATCACGATGATTTAGCAGCATTGGCTGGTCAACCTAATCAAGCAAACAACAGTTTACAAGCCATTGACACCGAAATTGTTAGTCTAAAACGTCAAGTATGTTTTCGAATAAAATAACACAATACGTGTGGATACATTTTTATATAAAAAAATAATTTATTGTTTAATTAAAAATTTTAAGTTATTTAAATAAAAATTTAATATATAGATACAATCAAATAAACAACAAGTAAGTGCACTGAAGCGTAAAACAACTGATGGTATTGATGATTTACGACCTCCAGAAGTATCAAGTCGTATAAATGCTCGTTGGACAAATGATGAATTACTTTTGGCCGTTCAAGGAGTTAGAAAATATGGAAAAGATTTTTCTGCGATTGCTGATGTAATTGGAACTAAGACAGAAGCTCATTTACGATCGTTTTTCGTGAATTATCGGCGAAGATATAATTTAGATGCCGTATTAAAAGAATATGAAGCTGAAAATGGCCCGATACTAATTGATGATGAGAAAGAAGAAAAGGTAAAATATTTATAATTCATTTTGTATATTATGTAATATTAATCATTAATATTACGTAATAAATCATTAAATATGAATGTTTAAGATGGATGTGGATCAGCCAAATGAAGCAGCAGAATCATCGCAAAAAACGAAATCATCCGCCGGCATTGGACAAACGGCTAAATAACAAATGACTATACTTCTGAATACTACCAAACGTGAAAAGAGCAATCACAGACATTTTGATAATCGATAATATTGTTTAAAAGGTATTTGTTTATAATTCAGTTTGCAATTCACTTCTAATTATATTATGTTGCTACTGATGCGATATAAAAATATCAAGTACAAGCAACAATTTGCATCAAATTTATGTGTAAAATAAATCCATATAATGCATGTATGGATGAATTTATAAGAACAAAAATGTGTGAATTTATTTAGCTAAACTTAGTTTTAATATAATATGTTTGAAATGGAATTTTTATTAAGTAATATAAGAAAAATATTATTCCATTAAGGACAATTAGCATGTAATTCTAAAAGATAAATTAATGCATCCAACTGCAAATATAACAAGCATTTTTTTAGATCCATTTTATATAATCTCGGATGCATAATAATTTTTTTTTTTTTTTTTTTTTTTTTTTTTTTTTTTTT